TACATAACCCCTTTAACATCAGCCAACAACAAAAAGGCTTACTGAACTCCAGAGGTTTGGGTGTGATGTTGGAGATCATGTGGATTCAAAATTCAATGACGTCTTTTTATGATCGCTTAGTCCCAATTTGTTTGTAAATAAAGATGCTATCTTTTTGAAATAAATGACAATTCTCTTTTAGGTAGTCTTTCGGATCATCCAGATTATGCCTTTTTAAACCCGTGTTATAGTGTCTTAACAATAAAACTTGAAATCAAGTTCCATTCAATTAGTATATCTCTAAGAATATTCTTATAGATCCTAGTATGAGAAGCAACAGACTGCAGCATTTAGATATTTAAAGTGTATTCACAGATTTTCGTTATTCTTAAAAGTTAGGTGTGGTTATGGGTTTGTATAATTAAAAGATTATTAATAAGGTAGGTTTCTTTTTGTTTTTGGAATTCTACATTGAGTCTTAATAGTTTTGAGTTACCTTTAGTCTCCATTGAATTGATAAGAAATTATAATATTTAACTCCCAAGAGTAGCTAAAAATACTGTTATAACACAGAAGTGAATATCTCAGGGGCTTACAAAGTTGAATGTTACTGTCCCACGATGCCTTAGGAAGAGCTCAGGAGTGTGGGAAGGGCTGCCATGACGTATGCCCTTGGGCAAGTACGAAGACTCCTCCTAGGAGACTGAAGCGGTTGGGACGAGACCTGCCCCTGTCGGCCTCACCACAGAGCAGTCCCGTAAGCGGATGGCCTGCGCTGTCCAGTGCCTCAGGTTGCTGATGCGTTCCATAATGTTTGCTAGGCTCTAGTGGTTGCTAGTAGTTGATGTCATTTTATTACATAGGTTCAATAAAGTATTTCTGCCTTTTTGTTCTTTTAATGAACAGATGAACATATTAGATTTTGCACGGTTGTATTTGTGAGTGGAAGATAGAGGTAGTAGCTTTAGTAGCCTTCTAAGTTTTTTAGGATTTTACCAAATTTTCACTCAATCGTAATTGAATTTTAAAGTCTTTAAAATTGAGATCAGAAAATCACATATATTAGTTTGTTATGCTTTCCTTAAAATATGTATTGCTGCTGGTTTCTCTATGGATAAATTGTTTTTCTGTTTAACAAATTATCTGTTTCTGTCTTATGGTGACTTAGTGTCTAAAAATAGTGACTATTAAAATATATGAGGTGGAAATATATAAAGAGTAAAAAGCAAATGGAGAGAAGTCTCGATTCTCGAATATGGCTGTATCTACACACATAGTATGTTCCCTGTGTCATTTAAATCTATAATAAACTTCCTTTAAAAGAATCTTTATGGTAGTTTCTAAGTATTTCAAAATTACTTATAAGTTACTTAAGGCTTTAGAAGGTAGAAATTCTGAGCAATTAATGCAAATAGTACTGAAAGCAATAAAGTATCAAGTAGTAAAATCGACTTCTTAATTGTGAGGTTTTTTATGAATAATTCAGTCCCGCGCTTCTGCTCGAGCATTTCTACTTGAAACCTTCTTTCTTCAGTGAAAGAGGACAATCAACTTGGTTTTATCTTGAGAGTCCAAGAAAGGTTTAAAAAAAAACAAAACGAGTAGAAGACTTCATTCTGGGAAATGGATCTGTTTTGAAGTTCAACTGGAATAAGCTATTTTGGAGTTTTGTATAGAAAATTACATCTAGCTTCATGATTAACTTGGTTACTTGATTTATTGCGTAAACAAAGCATAGCGTTTCGTGAAGCCCATGAGTAGCCGCTTTTTCCAAGCATGACAGAGTGACAACAAAGGAAGCGAAGAAGGGTGGGAGGGGGCGCGGGCCTGTGACTGCTAGAAGAGGGCGCGGACTTTTGGGGAGAGCGATTTCCATGGGCATCTGTGTCTTTTGTCACGTTTGGGATGGATGACCTGAGTCCGATATATTGATGAATAGCATTAACAAAGGTCTGGTTGTCAAAGGGTAGGAAGAAAAATGCAATTAGCCACAGCAGTGAGGTGCTGTCTGTGGTTGGAGGGAAAATCCAGTACCTAACTGGCAATAGAAAGCAGCGAAAGGGCACCATTGGTAAAAGGCCAGATTTGTGTGTGTGTGTGTGTGTGTGTGTGTGTGTGTGTGAATGTGCCATTGCGTGTGGTGTATCATACAGTGATCTTGACTCAGTGGGATGTGACAAAAAAGTCAATTTTTAGTAATGTTTGGTTTATTGGATGAAAGTGAATATGTACCTGTTACTAAAGAAATGACATGGTGAACTCAACAAATTTGTAGTTTATACATAACGCTAATTTCAACCGATCGGACATTTGCAATACTGTTTGTTTCTATTTAAAGAAAATTAGAATTAAATAAAAGTACACTGTTGTTCAAAAGAAGTTTGCTCTTTTTCTGGTCTGATTTTTTTCTCTCTAAACCATGCCATCCAGAGTAGGAACCATATCTAATCTCCCAATTAGGTCAGGCCCCAGGATAATCAATCTCTTTAACAGCAGATGCCTTGTTTTAGCAAATGAATGCTTGGTTTCAAAAGCAGTTTTGTGTTCAGAGAAGCACAGTTGGCATGGGTGATAAGAACTCTTTTAAACCCTGTAAAAGCTTCTGTAGATTGTTTTCTGTCCACACTTTGTGAACTGAAGTAAATGCTGTGCATATCCATCTTAAAATGAACATGGTGTAGGGACTTTGGACAGCCTGTGGGAACATCTACATGCATATAAATGGAATTATTTGAAGTCCAAATTTTTATATCTATTTGAATTAAACTGAGATTTGATAACATCTAAAACTAGTATATATGTTTTTAGTAGATGTTCTTTATTAAGGATGCTCCTTAATGACACTAACTTAATTATTAGATTAGTGTTTTTAACTGAAATTACAATGACAAGTTAACATGATTCTAATCCAAAACATATTAACATATAATGAACTGTTTTTCAATATGATATTTAAAAACCTCTAAGGCTTCACTAAATTGTTTTAGATAATCATTTTTCAAAATCTGATTGCCGGAAGTTATTAATAACGCCCTAAAGTGGTCTGTAAAATAATTCTGGAGGCCACATAAGTACTTATTTCCTTTTTCAAGAGAACAGATTACATAATTAAAAACATAGAGTTGAAACATTTGCAAGATAGGTTAAAAAAAGCATTCACCAGCATATTTTGGATGTTATTATTTCAACTTTATTGTATAATGATCCATTTGACCAATTTTTCTCCCCCTCTTAAAAGTTGTTAGTATTTCCCATAGTGAAGGCTGGTAAGACAACTGAGGAAATATTAAAAGCAGATGATCTTTAAGAAACATTTGATGCTAATTACTTCTTACCTTTCAGATAATTTAAATGTTGGTAAATGTATAGGATTACATTACTTTTTAAAATAAATTTTAAGGTTAAACTGGTAGGTCACACAGAGATCCAGTGAGACAAGATTTTTAAAATACAGGCATTCTTAATAATACCAAATATCAAAATAGAACTGTGACAATTCACTTATGCTTTTCTAATATATAACAGCATTTTAATATGATTAGTAGAATGGTTTCTGTATATTAAGAACCTTAAAATTTTTAACTGGAAAACAGTGTACTGTCCAGATCTGTTACTCAGTCACATTTTAGATTTAAAATTTAATTTGATTATTATAACATGTAAGGCAATTTACATTTGACTTAATTAAATTAACACTTAGGTTTATTCAAAAGCTTTCTTACTCAGATCCCAATGATTTTCAGAATCCAGAGGTTTCCAAACTGAAATTCTTTCTTACCATGGAGCTCTTGCAGCCCATTTATACGTATTATCTCACCCTTTCACGCACAGGCACATACTCCTTTTCGGCTCTGATGGTGGGGACAGGCATTATTCCTGACCTCGTTTGGCCGTGGACTCTGCTCCCTCTAACCTTTCATGAGGTTCTCTGCCTGGCCTCAGGTGGTTTCCTCAAACACATGCAGTGATCAGTACGCGACTGAACAGTGTGCAAACACCTGCAGATGTCAAGAGTTCTCTTTCTCGTCTCTTCTAGTCCTCTGATCCAAAGTCCAGCGCCTTCGCTTCCCCGGACCCCCAGCCCTGTCTCCTCAACTCTGGAGGATGGTGGCTCTGTCTGACATCCCCCTCCCTGCACCCCACCCTGGGGACTTTCTCGGGTGGTAAGCCGGGTAGTCAGAGGGCTCCCCTCAACATTGCCTTGTCTCTGAGGGATCATTGTCCTTCATCGCCCAGTATCCAGTTTTGAGTGCTGTGGTTTCATATATTTCGCCTGGTTTTTTCAGGTGTTTCGAGAGAGAGTGTGAATCTAGCCTCTCCTCTTTCATCTCAAATGGGCGTGGCAGTCCCACTGGTTGATTTTCAAATGTCGCACCAGCATTACACACTGGCATACAACCCACTTGGTGAGATATGTCATCCTTTTACGACATTGCTGGATTGGGTTTGCTAATATCTGTTGAAGAATTTTATATCTGTGTTCGTAAGGGATGTCTGTCTGTACTTTTTTTTTTTTTTCCTCGTAATATCTTTGTCTGGGCTGGGTTGCAGCATTGCTAGAACTGTCTTGACGAGTCACAGAACATCTCACTCCTTCACTCAAGAAACCCATAAGTCCTTCTGGTTGGTACGAACTCCACGGCATCTATCGAGGCCATCTGTCTGTCTCTGCAGCTACTCCTCCCACACCATTATTCCCCCGTTTACTCTAGCGCTTCTTGATTTATAAGGTGCTTAGAGCTTTCCAGGGGATCTCGGTAAATGCAGACCCTGATTCAGGAGATCTGGGTGAGGCCTGAGGTTCTGCGCATCTAACAAGCTCCCTGCTGCTCCCTGGACCACACGCCTGCAAGGCTGTGTTGAGTCCCTGTCACTTTGGCTCTTCTCAACACTGTGATCTCACTGTCCAGAGTGACCTTCCCCTAGTTCTGCTTAATGAAATCATTCTCATCTCTGAAGCACCATCTAGCTTAAAGGTCACTTTCTCTGTGACATTTTCTTCAAACTCTGATCTCACTCACCGTCACAGCTTCCAAATGTTGGCTTTCTCCCTTCCCCATGGCGTTATGTAAATACTTTGACTGCACCGTTTGGCACTGCCGCTGGTGGCCAGACCGTGGGTCTTCCTTGTTGAGCAGAGCCCCTTGAGGCCGAGCATTGTGTCTTTCTCCGGGCGCATGGCAGGTGCTCAGTAAACATTTTTTGAATAAATGTAACTGTGATTTGCACTTCTGGAAAGTGATGAATCGCTCTGTATAGCAAATGTCATGCCAAGTAAATTAAAAAGTTCTTTTTTTTTTTTGTAGCTTAAACTATTGATTTTGTATTTATTTATGAAAAACACTTCTATTGTTTTTAAATTTTCTTCCGTGTTCTAGCTTTTCACCCAAAGCAATTAAATGTCCATAATATAGATCTATTAAGTCTTAACAAAACAATATATCTTTTCTAGTTTGGAAAGCCTCAGGTTTTCTCTTAGCTAATGCCAAGCTAAGGTTTATAAAGATTATACACATCGTGACTAATGATTTCTCTTAACTGTGCTACCAAAGGGTAAATGGTTAAACAGTTTTTGCCTGCAGTTGGTAAGGAATGAGAAAAAGATTGGGAGTATAAATGCCTTTTTTTAAACATTTAAATAATATAAAGAAAATAGGAATTCTACTTGTTTTATGTTTTAATATCTGTAACCAATACCCCACAAAAGTTCATTTCAGACTTTTAAAAAAAACATATTTGCCTAACTGACAAATTTAAGAATCACATTGGGTCAAAAGTTTTTTTTAGGGGATGTTTGTACAGTTACTTCCATTTCTCAAGAATTCTTGAGCCTTGACAAAATTTTCTCAAGGAATGAAATCAGATTTGTCTTCTGTTCCACCCTGCCCCCGCAACACACACACATACCTGCTCCTTACCTGGAAAAATCCCTTTGAAGGCGGTCAAAACTCCTTGCTTACACTGTAATACAAAATAAGAGCAGAAATATAAAATGCCTAAGCTAGAGATATGACAGGCTGTCAGCAGTTTGGAGGGCTCTGTTCTTCGGTGAATCGTGATGAAATATGCACAACTCTTGGTGTTGCTGAGTTCAGTTAGACTTTCACATTTTAATTTACATAGTATTAACACTTTTCCCTGAGAAGCCACAGTTTTATGGAGACATTTCCTTGTCTGTTCTCATTCAATTAAAAAACATCCACGGGGCATTCATTAACAGTTCTAAAAGTGATGGGCTATGTTTTTATGCCATTTTTATTTGCACTGCTTCTGATCTTGCCATCGCTAATTAAAAAGGGAACTTAGGGTAATATAAACAATGCCCGTTGGCTGTACTAGACGCCATGTTTTTGTCTCATAAAGGAAAGACGTACACAAGGCGTCTGGGACAAAGGATAAGGATCTGCTGTCTATAGCTTGGCTCTCTCATTTTCGCAATGTAGATAGGCTGAGATTTTTCCAGAACTTCAAGCTCTGGTTCTTTTTTTACTTAACAACTACGTCTTCAATCTGTCTCTCTTTCTTGGCATTCTGCTCTAAGTAGTCAGGAGGAATCAAGTCCCCCTCAGTGCTTTGCTTAGAAACCTCCTCAGCGAAACCACAGTTTCATTTTCCCAAGTTCGACCTTCCATAAAACACTGGAACCGAAACACGGTTTACCAAGGTCTCTGCCGCTTCATGGCAAGGGTCGTCTTTCCTCCAGGGTACACCAAGATGGTTCTCATTTCCTTCCGAGACCTCACCAGACCGGCCTTTACCATCCTCGTTGCTACCAAGAGTCCACCCGAGGTTGTACGTGCGCTCTGAGAACATGCAAGCTTTCTCTGCGGCTCTCCTAAATGTCTGTTCTTGTGTTATGCACCTCAGAATTTCTCCAGCCTCTTCCCATTACTAAATTTCAAAGCCAGCTGCACATTTTTAGGCATTTGTTACAGCAGCTCTTTGGTACCCCTGGCATACAACAGTTCTAAATATCGACACACTCAATAGCAGAACTTCCAAATACATGAAACGGAAACTGATAGAACTGTGAGGAGAAATAGATAGATCCAAAATTGTAGTTAAAAATCTCAACACCCACTTTCAATAATTAATAGAATAAGAAGACAGGATATTAGGAAGATTAGAGCTGAAAAACACCATTAACCAACTTGACTTAATTGACATTTATGCCACCTTCCGACTAACGATAGAATAACACACTTTCTTCTCTAATGCACAAGAAGTATTTATCAAGATAGATCACATGCTGAGCCATAAAATGTTTCAGTAAGATTTAAAAGATTAAAATCATACGATCTATATTTTCTGACCACAAAGGAATTAAATTAGAAATCGATAATAGATACTGGGATAAATCTTCAATATTTGGAAAGTAAATAGCACACTTTTAAATAAATCGTTGTTCACAGAAAACAATGAAAAGGACAATTCAAAAGTATTTTGCTGTGAATGAAACTAAAACGCAACAGTTAAAATTTGTGAGGTGCAGCTAAACAGTAAATAGAGAAAAATGTATAGCACTAAATGAGTATTTTAGAAAAGAAGAAAAGTCATCATTTGTAGAAAGTCAAGTGGAATCTACAAATATAGGTGACTTTTGCAAGTTTGCAAGACACAAAATCCATATACAAAGAAAACAAATCGGCTGTAAGAAAGCCTCTACCAGTAGAGCTTTGGTAAATCGAATTGTTTTAGGATTAGCAAAAGAAGACAAAGAACCTGTTGAAAGTCAAGGGCCTCCCTATGAGCATGTATCACTTTTTCCCGGATGCTATGCTGGCAATACCCATATAGAGACCAAAATCTCCTTTGTTTTCTGAGAGCGTTTTATAACTTGTCCTTTGAAACAGCAATGATTGGAATTATTCCTAGGACTCTGCAACTCTTCAGCTTTGTTCCATTTAATATCTGTTCTTTATTTGTTCTACCTAATTGTTGCATCCCAGGCTGCTTTTTTTTTTTTTTTGGCAAATATATTACCTCATAGAATCAGTTCCCAGAGTCTGATTTGACACAGGCGGGCCTTAAAGATTTGGCCCATTTCCCAGCCATCTCCTATACTAACGAAGAAATTGGTTTCAGCATCAGTTATGGTCCATACGAGTGATTATGCTTAGCTGACATCGAGAATGTTCTTTTTTCTGTATTTCTATCCAAATGGTTCACAAGTAAGTATGTGACAGCCTATCTATACATTTGAGTGAGAATAATACTGATTGATTTGGCTATATTTTTTGGGATGAGAGAGGAGATGTTTTGTTTTATTTGATGGGAACATTTAGAAATGATAAACATAGTAGAAAACATTGAGCCAAAGACGTGAGTAATTTAGAAGAATATGTCTCTAAAAGAATAGAAATACGAAAAGTAATATATATGCTTAGTAAACCACGAATCTCTTCCTATTCTAAAGCAGCTTTTCAGATTCTTTGACACTAAGTAACTTAGGACAAGCATTATTATACAGTAGAGTATTATACAGTAAGGTAGAGATGTCTCAAATACTCCAGCTTTCCAGGATTAGTTACCAGCTTTTGGGGGTATATATTCAAATATAGACTGACCCCCATCTTAAAAATTGTGAGAGGCATGCCAACTTGCCTGATATTTCTATCGATTCTTGGTTCGAGGTGGGAAGATCTCCAGTCTGCTCAGCTGTGGTTTTTTAGTTCCAAAAAGCTATGCTACAACAAGGTCGTCCATGTACGTGTCTTAGGTTTGATGGTTAATATGGGTTAATAAAGACAGAAAGTAAAAAAAAAGCAAATAAAATCAGGACAATACTTTTTAAACATTTTCTGGCCATGCCAGCTACTAGGAGTTTTTTATGGGCCACCTGCCTTCTTTGTTGTCATTTTTCTGAATTCCTTTACCTCCCTCTATCAGATCCTTCTGTTGCCTCAGTAATTCAAGGTAGCTGGTCACCTTACCTCTTATCACTCCTTGCGCATTCAGGGAAAAGGTGCAGAATTTTTTCTCAACAAATGAAATTAGGACTCTCCCCCGCATTAACTGATTAGTCCAAGGAAACACAAAAATCTTCCAGTAAGTAAACCGGCTTAACGACAAAGAGCTGAAATGTCCCATTTCTTTCTTCCTCACGCGAGGGCGTCGCAGCGTTGTGGAGCGGGTCACACGCTGCCTGCCCCTGGGTGCCCGGTCGGCAGCCCCGCAGAGGCCGGCGGTGGCCGGCGGTGGCCGGCGGTGGCATTGTCACACTCCACGACTGGTGCCTGTGCCAGCAGCTGCTGCGTGCTTTGAGTTTCACCTCTGGCGGACTGTTTCCTACTCGAGACGAAGGTACACATGAATGTAGTTTTATTTTTAAGGTTTTGTAGTTATTACAATTCTTTTTTCAGGTTCCTCTTCTTTCATGATTCTCATCAAAGATTGATAATATTCGCATGTCTGAAAGAGATAACAAATGTGCCCCAAGAAAAGTGTCCAGTAAAACACATCACTTGCTGTTTTTTTTCTCCCTAATCTCTCTACCTCGAAATCCAGCCGCACATCTATGTGAGTTTTCAGGGGGCACGTGGCTTAGAATTTAGCCTTTTAAACATTCCGCACATAAATTATAGATCATATTTCTCTATTTCTGTGTTTTCTACCTTGTGGGATTTTTGTAAGTGAAAAAAAAAAGTCTCAAAGCTGATCTGAGTTATTATTGCTATGAAATCTGAAAAGCTAAAATTTTAGAGTGCATAATATATTCAGGTGTAATATTTGTTTAGATTCATCTTGTCGCCGATTTTCTCTGGTTTAATATAAACTTCCTCACGTGAGCACAACAAGGTCTTAACTACCTGTGCGATGCTCCTCTGACTCCTAGGGTTTGATTTCAAGACTCCATGCCTGACTCAGTGTTTATAGCCTCAGAGAATTCGAACCTGATTTCCAGAAATCAAGTTGATCAGCTTGAAATAAGAAGATAATATTTGCTCAAAATAAATAAATAAATAAATAAAGCCATCTATCTTAGATTTCCTTATAACCTCTGAGAAGCAAGGCCTTTTTTTTTTCTTGGGAATGCGGGGACAGGATGAGTTCAGAGCTGTGTACGTGCAAGCGAGCCGACAGCTTTGCCGCAGCCGGTGGGCACGCCGGCGCTGACATCCTCGCTACGGGGAAAGCAGCAGGAGAAAGGCCGCCGTTTTCTTTTTTAAAGCTCTAAATGAACCCTCACGGTGGAGTCAACACCTTTTCAAACTCCAGATTTATAAGCTCAGATGAACAGTGAAGATATTGCAAGATGCCTAGAAGAAACTAGAGCCGTAGGCCAATTTCTTTACGATATCTTAGCTCTTAAGATGTATCATATTTCAAAGGTTCTAACATTTACGTTTTATTCTTCACATTTTAACATCTCTGGAAAAGGGGCGTGTCTTGGCGGTGGCCTTGATGTAGCTGTCATTGCTCGTCCCTGTGCACGAAACCTTGCGGAATGAAGGTCAGCCACTTGGAATAAATTCAGAGACAGTTCAGCATCACCGGCACTCCTGGTGGCTGACTGCAGTGTCAGGTGGGAAGACGTGGTCATCCAGGACTCTGAAAATATTTTGCAAGATCAGACTTGGAATGTTGGCTCGAGGAATACCTTAACCAACTTGTTTAGATTATATTTTCATTTTTATATAGGCTTGAGAATGACATAGATAAAAAAAAAAAAACCCTGCACCTCAATAGGTATTAAAAAGCCCTCTCAGTAAGTGTGCAGTGCAAGCTCTGTGTTACAGAAAGCGTTACGCGGCAACTTCTGTAGCGCTCACGTTTCTCTCTCTCTGTGGTGCATAAAATGATCGCGTCGCTACAATTATTATGGTCTTTTGATTGCAAGATAGACATAGATTGTGGGATTTTTGAATCGCTAATTTTAACAATGTTTTTGTTTTTGCTGTGTTTTTAAAGGGGTGATATGAATCATCATATTAAAGGAGGCATTAATGCATTTCTCAGAGATTGAAAAATAAAATTTAAAAGGATGTACTATGTCCTTTCCCTCTCATAAATAACATTCTTTCTGAGAACTACTTCCAAATATGTTCTTTAAATGCAAACTTCAAAGTCTAACTTGGGGCCAGAAGTAAACTGCTTTGTCTTGTTTATCATAGACGAGCATCTCTGAGGGTTTTGAAGTTCAGTTTAGAAGAGGATTTAGCACTCCGCAAGTTTATGTTTCAGATTGCAATATTGACTGATTATCTTTCCTAAAATGTAATAGACATAATAGGTGGCTTCCAACACTCCATATTTTCAGAGTGTTTGCCATTACTGTACTTGATGGTCATTATTTTTTAAAAAATCTCTCTGATCCCTTTTCTGAAGAGGAAACCAAAATTGCCTCTCAAACACTTCACTGTCTGGGTATAATCTATGCTTTAATGTTGCTAAACCAAGATGGTGACACCTCATTTTCCCAGAATTGCCAAAGAAAGACTTGTTCCATGTCAGCAAATTTCCCAGATAATTTAAGCATAAACATTTAAATGCAAAACCTATTTTTTTTTTTTTACTATTTCTGATAGAAATATTTCTACATCACATCTTTCTGTTTTTAAATAGAGAATACTGAAAATCGAAGCTCTAAAATTGTGTAATATGTGGCAATTCCGGGGCCGGGGGGTGTGGGGTGCTGCTCTGCTTGTTGATGGATCTTTAGCGGACAAGAGGAAGCGGTTACGGGGAGCAGCTGCTCAGAACTAAGTGAACTTTCGCTTCTTGTAGATGAGGCTCATTTCTGTAGTGTCTCCTTATCCTTGGTTTCGCTTTCCATGGTTCTGTTATCCAGTCAACCGTGGTCTGAAAATATT